TCTAACTGCGAGAATTTTCTTAACTTTGGGGACATATCAGTGGATCTCCTCTGCTGTTCTCAGTTTTTTTTTTTTTTGGGGGGGGGTTATAGCTGGATGAGGGGCACAAAGATACTCTTGTCTCCCCCTCTTCAAAAGTGGTGATCGGTGCAATAGCCCACTATGGATCTATAACTTTCAATTTGTCTCCATATCCCCTTTTTAGTATACTTTTTAATTTGATTCAGCCTTTAACCGTACATGCTGACGTGATACATAAGCTTTCACTGAATCTTCTTTATCGCAGATATTCATAAATTAAAATTGATATAACTATATCTTTATTTTATCATATCAACAATATTATATCGATATGATTAAATATCTTGTTTTAATCAATATCTGGAAATCAATATATTATTTCAGTCGATAAAGCTTAATGCAATAAAATCTATTGAACAAAAGAAGTTGCCTTCTATTATGTTAAGAAATCTTAAAACAATTTAAAATATGTACATAAATAAGGAGGTATAACACTTTATATGATGATAAGTCGATAAAATATAAGACAATATACAAAGTTATAAAACAACAAGTGTAGAGCCATTTACGCTTCCGTACATCTAGCATGTTGGATGTCACATGTGGGCGATATTTGAGATTTTTGAAGAATTTTATAATATTTATTTGATTGCAATTTTCTTGCATGTCAACATATTTATCTTGCATGTTGACATAACTATCTTGCATGTCAACATATTTATCTTGCATGTCAACATATTTGATAGAAAAATAATTTGCACACAAGGGGTAGGAATATGCCACCATACCTTACACTCTTAAAAAAAGTTCATATAAAATTATCGCTACTTGTTTAGCGATCTATGTTCACGGATCAAAGGATCTGCGCACGTGAAAAAAAATATGGGCTGGATTGTTTTTATTGGGGTGGAACCCCCCCCCCCCCCCCCGAAAAACAGGATCTGCACCTGTACAGATATGAATTATATAGTACAGAAAAGATAAATGCTCTGAGGAACAGGATAATCAAGGTTGGTACTTTTTACACAAGGGAGATAATATTTTTGAGGGGGGGGGGGGTATCGATATCAATAACTCATTAAGTTTCAGTTAAAGTCTCACAAGATTTTGGTAACTTGTTCATTAAATATGAATTAAAAAGTCTGATATTAAATCTGGAAAACATATTCGAAAGGATAGTTTTAATTTTATTCAAAAGTTTACTATGCGTTTCTTTTTCCTTTCAGTATAGTTGAAACCGTAAAAGAAATTCAGGGGCGGATCCAGCAATTTTCGAAAGGTCAGTGCCCCAGCACTCATGCATAGAATCACAACACGACCACTTGAAGTTCGTAACTACATATATTTTTAAGAGAGGGGGGCTCCAAAAACAGTTGACAAGCAAATAAAAACAAAAACAAAAAAAACCTTTGCACCACACTCTAAAGTCCTTCTTTGAGGGTAGAGGGGGCTTTCTGTAGCTTTTCTCTTCGAACTGCATTATATACTTTCATTTAATGCTTGAATCTGCGTATTTTCCGGAAATAAAAACTGTGGAGGGAGCTTCTAAATCAAAATATTAATCAAAACTACAGCAAAAGATTATTCTCAGAAAAAAAGAATCCCCTCCATCTGCATATTTTTTTGGATGTTACTTGTGAGTGGTCGGAACTCTTAGCCGGGGTTGGGAAGGTAAACGGAGGAAGGTACGCGAAAATCTACAGATCTACAGAGCAGAGCGGACAAATATTTTCCATTATTTCAAAATATTAGACTTCTTCTATATTGCAGAATTTTTTCTCTCTATGTACAAAATTAAAAGGTGGTTCCAACCACCGGAACCTTCCCCCTCTGGATCCGCCATAGTCGAAAAAATCTGACGTTTTCCTGGCTTTTTTACGATTTTTATATTTTACATGCCAGGAATGGCATGTAAAATATAAAAATCGTAAAAACAGGAAAACGTCAGATTTTTCGGACTAGATCCGCCAATGAAATTTACACTGTAGGGCTACAAGGATAGACTTAATTGTACTCATGTACAAGGTGTGGTGGCATCTTTGCCATGGTATGCGCAGTAGACCTTGTCCCTTGTGCATTTTGCTTAATTTCTCCGAGTCCGAAAACAGAATCCCCAAACCTGGAGTAATCGCTGTCCTACATTCCTTTACCCTATTTTTAAGCCAAAAAATAAAAAAAAAGATATGGATACACACATCTTGCCTTAATTTCTTTTCTTTATAAATATCTTAAAGTACTCAAGTCATTCCCTAAAATATACACAGGGTCAATCTAATAGATAAAAATGGGTATATAATGTACTATATACCGGTAGTTTATGATCCCTTATTAGTACAAATAATTTCGATACCGATAATATATTCTATAATACATTCCGAGGTTTACCAATTGGATCCTGATATATAATTTCGCGTGATTTACGTTCCTACGAAAGTACAAAAATAATGATTACGTAGAAAAACTTGCGCGCCATCTAGCGTTAATTCAGGTAATATATATATGTTTTTTGCGCGCCATCTAGCGACAATTCAGTGAATAATCGTTGGTTTTGCATTGGTGATCGTTGGTTTCGCATCGGAGTCTGTTGATTTTGCAAACGAGTCTGTTGATTTTGTTTTTAAGGTTGTCTGTTTTGTATTTCATGATGTTTATAAAATTAGTTGTTAGTTTTGCATAAACGTCTTTTTCACCCTTTCCGCCGCCCATAGCTACTAGTGCTTGGGACAGCTACACACCAAATCTAAGTCCTATCTAAATGTATGAATAACTTATGTTCCTAGACTTGTACCGTATTTGCATCTTTAGGAACTGCTCGGGTTCAGGGCCACATTTAATGAATCTTTGTAAGGAAGAGTGACCCCCGTATAATATTTACCAGGGGGTCAATATTCTAAGTAGGGTCATTTTTCGATCGTAGAAAAACACTCCTGAACAGTTATTCCACGACTCCACACACGTTGAAAAATGACCTCCAAAGAAATTTGACCCCCTACTTTTTATACAATAAAACCTAATTTCTGTATTTCTTGATTTATTTTGATACTTTCAAATGTAAGGATCGAGGGTGGAACTTTTTATGTACTTTAGTCCTTTTCAACATATATTTGGTTGCATATCTTAATGGTAGAATCACAATCAAAGTATCTGGTATGGATTTTTTGGATTGTGGAATCCAAATGAATATTTCAATTTTATTCATAGAGGAGCATAAATTGGTGGTTATGTTTTTGGGGTTTTTTTTATCAATCAGAGGTTTTGTTTCTAAAATGACATATGTTTATATATTTTTCTACGTAAAATATTGACCAGTGGGTCAAATTTCTTTGTAGAAAAATGACCCACGGTCAATATTCTACGGAGTCACTTTTCGTCGTTACACCGATTTGAAACTGACGACAATAAGTCAAACTTCAAATTGATTCATTAACTTTATGCCCTCACGACACAGAAAATAAATTAATAAGACACTCTAGACCGTTCTTGCCTGTGTTACAGATAAAATTTCCTATTTGCAGACAAAATAGTCCCTGTAATCTAAGAAATCTACGTGCAGCTATTGTATGAATTGAACTTAAATAGAATGATCATTAACCAATACAGACTGTCTTATCAATAATCAATACACTTACTTATTAGATAACTCAATTCCTAAAAACAGTCTTTATTTTCTATTTAATTCATTTTTTTTAAAATCCAGTTTAATTTGTCCAAATATGACTTTCACTTTATTAAATTTTAAAAATTACCCTGTCAATTATCAGGATGTATAACTGTATTTACTACTGCATTATTTTCATCAGAATTGTCCCACATAAAATAACATTCTTTAGTTTTTTTAAGCTTATGAGAAAATATGTGAGTTACGCACGTTAAGACACTTAGGTGGCTTAGGCAAAAATGGCATCCTTGTATGGCAATATTCTCTTGGGCAGATTTGAATGCAACTTGTTACGTCAAACACCATTTAGGCTCCTGGGCTGGTTGCGTATCATTGACTACATAGAGATGAAATGGATGGAATGTCGCGAGAGCCTCGAGACACTCATTTCGTTTGCCAGTACCTTCCATCAGTCTAACAAATTTACGGTAGACGTACATATTTCAATTTCTCCAAACATATTCCTAATTCTACCTTGACTGATGGTGAAATCAAGTTCAGTCTTCACATGAAACCCACACATCCCCATCTGTATCTAATGCCGTATCTGTTATCCCTCACACATATTTAAGGATGTGCCTAAGGGTATAACCACCAGAATTCGGTATCTGTTCATTCCCTGCCTTATAGCAGGAACAAAGCGGTTTCCCCAAGTCCCACTTATGCAAGAGAGGCTACAATGCCAACACTGTACACACTGCCATTGATGAGATGGCGTGACATGAGAGGCATAACCTATTTCTCTACAGGGAGAAGAAAACAGCGGCAGGGTCCCTCTGGTAACTACATACCACCCAGTCCTTAAGAACCTCGGCGGAATCCTTAAAAAGATCCTGCCAGTTCTTCACTCAAATGAACGAATGGCAGAGGTCTTTAAGTAACTTCCATTGGCTGCATACAGACGCCCAAGGAACCTAAAGGACTTGGTAGTGAGAACCAGACTGGGCAATCCATAACCTAACACGGGCTTTAAAACTTGCTCTGACAGGAGATGTCTTCCCTGTATCATGTTGTAAATTTTGAATTTACTAGGGGAGGTAAATGCAAAATTTACCTCCCCCTAGTAAATTCAAAATTTACAATATGATACCTGTAAGCACAGCTCTGCACAAACTCGGTAGGAAAATAATAATAATAGTGAAAAAGAAACAAAGAATTGGAAGGTCTTCCGCTGGAGACGAAAGACCTCAAAAATTGTCCATGAGGCACTTCTAAGCTTCAGTAATATGCAATTCATAAATCAATGTTTTTATGTGTGAAACTTCATGAAGAATCTTAAACCATCTCATTTCTCATAAAAATTTAAAATTTATTTCCTCACCTCCCATGTATTTGATGAACATGTAGAATTCATCTCCAATGTAGACGCTGCTGATGTCGGGAGCAGAAAGATCATTGACTGCTTTAAAACGCATCTCAACAGGAGAGACTTCTTTGTAGTTGTCTGGAAGCTGATTGTAAACCCTGAAGTACATTCATGCTTTTCTTACTGGCTACTTAAAATATATCACCAGATTGAAATATTAGGTTCTACTGAAGCATTTAAGGCATATAAACATCTATTACATTGCTGAATCATCGTAAAAGAATAACTTCTATCCATAAGATACGAATACATGTAACGGTTAACAATCAAAGAGGAAATTCAAAATTATCTCTTCAATAGCAGTGAGTTATCGTTCATAAAAGCGAACCCTAGCGGCACTTGAAAGGCCTACATTTCGGTGTAACTCATGTTGCTTGTCACGAGGAGTGGGGTGCCCTTAAATATTACGACGAAACTTTCTTTTTCGTTTCTAAAGAAATGGGCGTGTCATTATGTTATAATAGACGTTCAAAACATGACTCAGAACGTTTCATCCAGATGGAAAATTTTACCACTTCAATGCACTTCACTGTAATTTTATATTTTTAAGAAGACAAGGTTGTATGGTATGTATTATCTACATATGCTATGTAGTTCTTGTTAAGAAAAACCCTTAGCGATGTTTGACGACAACCCATTCAAGATGTAAAAAAGCAGTTTAAAATACTTTAAACAGGTCGGAGAGAATACTCGAAATCGGATATTATCCGTGAAATCGCGTATAATACTCGATATTAGGGTATCGTTGAATCCGCGAAATCGGGTATAGGACGTGTAATCACTTAATAAAACTTAAACACTGGGATGGCGCATGTTGCCGAGTTAACTTTCATCTAGATACACATGTTTTCTATAGGTATCACTAGCCAAGTAAGAATTTGGGCGTCAAGATTAATGCGCTCAGGACAACAAATACCCGTGGAGCTCAGTACATTTCATGATCTGCACACAAAAAGGCGTTCGATTTGCTTTATATTTTTCCTGATGTTGAAATTATATGCATCTTCCTAATGTTCATTCCCAACACAACAGAATTGTAAAGTATCAGAATTCAGGAATTTATAATAATTCCACATCAACACGACAAACATGAACAATTTGTAAATAAATCCAATTATACGGAAACGCATTTCACACACCAGATATGATGCCTTGTATAAACAAGGGATTGTTTATCGTATCTAATTATGCGTCATTATTTATAATTACTTTCACATTCATCTTGTGCATAAAATCAAATTTATTTATGAATGTATAAATAATGTAATGATAAAAATGTCTAAAATTTCGGCTAAAAGAACCCTCTTTCTCTTTTTTTTTGAAAAATCTTTTCTTTTTTATTTATCATTCAAATTAAACATATTTGCAGAATATGTCTTTAACATTTTAGCAGAGACAGTGATAGTTTCAGGAATACAGCTCATGAGAGAACATAACTGTTGATCGTTTAATTTCGCTTTCATCAATATTTTACCATTTCACAGAGGGGGGGGGGGGGGCTATAGGCTTCTTGACCACCTCTGACAAAACAACCTCGACTGTGTTCTACATGTGTCCAAGAGACCTCTCTTTGAATGTCACGGTCGGTTAAACTCATCATCAAATAAAAATCATATACATTGTAGGTAAACAAAAAGCAACCTGTTATTTTCTAACACAATATAAGACTACAAGTAACTAGAATTCATGTTTATTTTTTTAACACATATTTTTTATTATAGATGAGATTTAGGAAAAGTTATTGCCATGAGTAATACGTATCATAGATAAAATAAATTAAAGAAAACTGACATATTGTCTAGAACCAATCAGATAGTGCGTTGTATTAGCATATTATAATGAGGTATAAGTTAGCGATATAAAAAAAAATGTGGAAGGTAAAGAGGTAAAATTTACCCTGTCTATCAAACAGTATGATAAAGAAAGGAAGAGGCTACGATTTTTATGAAGTTTTAATGTCCGATGAGGAATTATATTCCCAAAGAGTAAGACAAGAGTTTCCAAGGCAATTGAACACTCCATTATTTCAGTTTGTTCATTAACATGTTCATAAACGTAAAAACTATAAGAAATGTGAAAACTTGACTATGTAATTCATATTTCAATATGACTGTACCTCGATCTACATTGAGAAATTTAATGTATTATAAGCTCATGAAAAGATGTACACATTTGGCTTTTATTTATACCCCCCCCCCCCCCAAAAAAAAAAACAAGAAAATCCTGTGACTTCTCGCTCTCAATTTTCACACAAAATGCATAAAATAAAGGTAAAATAGCATATCTTGTATCGATTAAAATGCAACCAAAAAATTTACGGTGTCTTTGAATAAAAATTTCATGCTAAATTGACATAAAAAAAGGTACTCACCTTCAATTAGCTATTTTCAAACTGTATTCCCGTGGGTATTTATTTAATCTTATTTTATTTTCTTCTTTATAATAACGTTGGTATTCTATTATGGCAGAGATATACAATTATGACTCGCTTATACTGTACTCTCTAACTGTTAGGAATAATTTATATTTCACGTGAAAGGGACGCCATACATTTTTCAGTAAAAATACATAACACGGCGTTAGTCGTTTAATTTCTTTAAAATTTCACGTTTTGTGAATAGTGCACAAATTAGAAAATAAAGTATATGGAATACTTTAATGGGATATAAAGACAAACGAAGTGTAGTTATTTGTTTTTAGAAATTATATTGAAAAATAATAACGCCATTGTGTCCTCTTTGTTACCCCAGCAGTGTTTGTCGTGTGATTTTAAACTTATTTGACAACCGTATGAATTAGGTTTAATAAAAATAAACCCACAAGATACTGAAGTACAAGTAACTGTTACTGGCATAATGCGCCGTTGCTTTATTCTTTAGTTTTTATAGAAAGTTGGACGGAATTCCCGATTTCGCGGATTCAACGATACCCTAATATCGAGTATTATACGCGATTTCACGGATAATACCCGATTTCGAGTATTCTCTCCGACCTGTTAAATACTAAAATATTTTTGCGCATAATGCACTCCATACTGAAGACCCGTAGTCGCTAGTTTGTAAATGTTCACCCAACCGAAAATGTCCAATACACCCAGTTTTTACTACATACGCTTTCACCATCAACTTAAGCTTTTGAATCATGTTAAATTGTTGTTATTGCATCTCATTTCAGTGCAAGAAATTATTGAAAAAAGTTTGAAAAAAAAATCGTAAAGAAAGAAACAACAAGAAAAAATAATTGCCTTCCTTGAAACACATGTGCCACCGTTTTACTAATACCCTGGTTTGGAATGTCTTTGCAGGTGATAACAAATTGATGTCCAGTGTGTCCCCCAACAACATCATGGGCAACGGTAGGGTGTGGAGTTAAAGGGATCTGATAAACACCATCCAACATATTGTCGTAAACACTAATTGTGGCATTTTCTTTACCATTCTGAAAAAAGAGTCAAAGCACATATTCGTTTTAAATCTTCTATAATGATCAATTTTATGCAGAAAGTATGTGAACTCTTAAATCTATATTCTTATATATTCACTCCTTGAAAGGCACCATTGATACAAAGCACTTTGAAAAATTACGCACTTTGAAAAATTTTTCAAAGTGCGATAAATTTGGGACCAATTCAACGCATTTTGAAAAAAATAAAATTTCTTTTCAAAGTGCGTTAATATCGACCATATTAACGCACTTTGAAAAAAAAGTGTATCTATAGTCGATATTCTTGCAAATCTTAGGTACGATAAATTATTGAACCTGTTGGATAACTTTTCGGTGATAAGGTCATTTCAGGATGTGAAAGTGAGCGATTTTGATTTTTGCCTTTGAAAGTTCTTTCTCTCTTAAATGTGTTATACCGGTAATTCTACTTAATTTTTCCCAGTTTGCATGAATTTTATGTAAACTAAAATTTATCGAAAGTTTTCGACGTCGTACTAGTTATGCAAATACATATTATGGTGTAGCATAGGCATCGGGTACCGGTCGGAGTGCTTAGGCGCACGATTGAACGTTCAATTTGCTGCCCACGTCTATGTAAAAAAAGAGTTGGGATGAAAGACTTCTACTCGTCTTCTCCTTGTTCTCAATGGGATTAAATCAATTCGTGTAAATTAAAAAAAAAGTTTTTTTTAAGATATAATAATTACAAATTAATTCTCTTAATTACTAAAATCTAAATCTAATTTTTTTTGTTTAATACATAATTTTTTCAAAGTGCGTTAAATTTCCCCATGATATGTAGCAACGCAGTTTGAAAAAATTACGCACTTCGAAAAAAATTTTCAAAGTGCGTTAAAATTGGGCAAATTCAACGCACTTTGAAAAAAAATTTCAAAGTGCGTTAAATTTTGACACACTCGACGCACTTTGACAATTTTTTTCAAAGTGCGTTAAGATTGTACATAAACATTTTTAACCATGGGGACATTTAACGCACTTTGAAAGAAATATGTATAAACAAAATATTCTAGACTTAGATTTTTAGCTCACCTGAGCCGAAGGCTCAAGTGAGCTTTTCTGATCACATTTTGTCCGGCGTCCGTCTGTCCGTCTGTCCGTCTGTCTGTCTGTCTGTCTGTAAACTTTTCACATTTTCGACTTCTTCTCAAGAACCGCTGGGCCAATTTCAACCAAACTTGCCACAAAGTATCCTTGGGTGAAGGGGATTCAAGTTTATACAAATGAAGTGCCACGCCCTCATTCAAGGGGAGATAATTGGGAATTAATGAAAATTTGGTGGTATATTTTAAAAATCTTCTTCCCAAGAACCACTGTGCCAGGAAAGATGAAACTTATGGGGAAACATCCTCAGGTAGTGTAGATTCAAGTTTGTTCAAATCATGACCCCCGGGGGTAGGACGGGGCCAAAATGGCCGACCAAAGTTTTACATAGAAATATATAGGAAAATTCTTTAAAAATCTTCTTCCCAAGAATGACAAAGCCATAATTCATGATATTTATGTGGAAGCATGCTCAGGTAGTGTAGATTCAAGTTTGTTCAAATCATGGCCCCCGGGGGTAGGGCGGGGCCAAAATAGCCGATCAAAGTTTTACAAAGAAATATATAGGAAAATTCTTTAAAAATCTTCTTCTCAAGAATGACAAAGCCAAAATTCATCATATATATATGGAAGCATGCTCAGGTAGTGTAGTTTCAAGTTTGTTCAAATCATGGCCCCCGGGGGTAGGGCGGGGCCAATATGGCCGACCAAAGTTTTACATAGAAATATATAGGAAAATTCTTTAAAAATCTTCTTCTCAAGAATGACAAAGCCATAATTCATCATATTTATATGGAAGCATGTTCAGGTAGTGTAGATTCAAGTTTGTTCAAATCATGACCCCCCGGGGTAGGGCGGGGCCAAAATGGCCGACCAAAGTTTTACATAGAAATATATAGGAAAATTCTTTAAAAATTTTCTTCTAAGAATGACAAAGCCATAATTCATCATATTTATATGGAAGCATGTTCAGGTAGTGTAGATTCAAGTGTGTTCAAATCATGGCCCCCGGGGGTAGGGCGGGGCCAATATGGCCGACCAAAGTTTTACATAGAAATATATAGGAAAATTCTTTAAAAATCTTCTTCTCAAGAATGACAAAGCCATAATTCATCATATTTATATGGAAGCATGTTCAGGTAGTGTAGATTCAAGTTTTTTCAAATCATGACCGCCGGGGGTAGAGCGGGGCCAAAATGGCCGACCAAAGTTTTACATAGAAATATATAGGAAAATTCTTTAAAAATCTTCTTCTCAAGAATGACAAAGCCATAATTCATCATATTTATATGGAAGCATGCTCAGGAAGTGTAGATTCAAGTTTGTTCAAATCATGGCCCCCGGGGTTCGGCGGGGCCAAAATGGCCGACTAAAGTTTTACATAGAAATATAGGAAAATTCTTTAAAAATCTTCTTCTCAAGAATGACAAAGCAATAATTCATCATATTATAATTTATATATGGAAGCATGCTCAAGTATTGTAGATTCAAATTTGTTCAAATCATGACCCCCAGGGGTAGGGCGGGGCCAAAATGGCCGACCAAAGTTTTTAAAGATATATACAGGAAAATTCTTTAAAATTCATTTTCTAAAAAAAAGCAAATCCATGATTGGTCATGGGACTACTTTTGGATTTAAACTTTACAATAAAAAGCCATTTTCTACTATTTCCTACCCTTAGTGCTCAGGTGAGCGATGTGGCCCATGGGCCTCTTGTTAGTTATAGAGATAATAAATTTGCAATAATTATATCGAAAAACTTTTTAATTAAATGTAATCATTTAACCTCAATAAGAACAAGGAGAAGACGAGTAGATGGTCTCTCAGCCAACTTCTTTTTTTTCTTATAGATTGTACACATCCGTCGGTAGCAAATTGAAAGTGGACCCCCAAGGTAAGCCCCAATTTTCAATGCCTATATCATGTATATCTTTGCAAAATGTTTGTGTACCTAGGCCCCCTCACTCACGGTACCGATGCCTATGCTACACCCAAATATATACATGTATTCATATAACCGGCATGACATTGAAAACTTTCAATAAATTAGTTTTACTTTACATAAAATGCATGCAAACTGGAAAAAAATTAAGGTCAGTAAACATTTTTAAAGAGAGAAAGACTTTTCAAAGTATGGAAAACCAAAATCGCCCACTTTCACAATTTAAAATTTAAAGCACCGTGAAAAATTTGTTCAAAGTGCGTTGTAACAATGGTAAAAATGTTGATGTACACTCTTAACGCACTTTGAAAAAATTTTTCAAAGTGCGTTGAGTGTGTCCCAAATTCAACGAACTTTTTTATATAAAAAAAATACTGTGAATCAACAGTGTTAAAAAAATACAATTCGTAATGTACATGTAACAAGTACAATATATATGTTACAGTAAATATGTGAAATCAGGAATTTCATGTATTTCCTAAACCATCCAGTAAATACATGTATTTACTGGCCGTTTTAGGAAATACAAGTAATTACTGAATAACTAGGAAATTCATGTATTTACTGAAAATTTTAGCCAATTTTACACGTTTTTACTGAACTAAGCTGGATGACTATGTATAACCTTTAGAAATATCAGTAGGAAAACAAAATTGATACTAATATGCTTGTTTAAAAGCATTGTCTCTACAAAGCTGACGTTATGCATTACTTTGAACACTCAGTGCATTGTTTTTCTAAAATTCCATTTAAGGACGTTGCTACCCTCTTGTGATGTTATAGGTATTTTACAGAAACTTCAATTCATACCTAGTACAAAAATATATTTTGGAAGAATGTTTTTCATGTGTGGAGCTTTTAACATTAGACTGGTGCTTTAAAACTAGTTTTTAACATAATTTTTATCATAAAATTTTATCAAAAATGTACAATTTTTAAATGGTGATATATACGGTACTTCTGTTTATTCGAGTCTTGCATCTCTAAAATTATTTTAAGTTTGTAACATAGATATGTTTTGCAAGAATCAGTTAAGTCAAACATTTATTTTCTATTTTGAACCATTAAAATTGTGAGGTTGGAAAATTCCTGATAGTAAAGTATCATCTTGAATTACTGACTTTAATTTCGTTACATTACATGTATATGTAATTTACAAGATATTTTTTGTTTTTTGCATTCTTCAAGAGAGAGCAGAAGAATTGTTTTAATTGCAAATGCTCCAGGGTTTTAAATTCACAGTCAAAAATTGCAAAATAGCATTGTATGAATATCTAATAAAGGAAAAAAATGTCAGTAAGCGACTTTAATTAGTTTTTCTAAAATGAATAAAAGTATAAAAATAATTTACTTAAAGTATGCAGTAATAAAGACAACTTCTTTCCAGAAAATGAAAGCAGTGTATCATTATGTTTTTTTGTGTGTTTGTTTTGTTAATATTTACAAATAATGCATTTTTAAATTTATGAATTAATAGAGGTGTATTTCAAATATAATTTCTTCACAAATGTGCTAACTAATATTAACATTAAATATACTATGCATCTGTTTATGTTTTAAATCTCACCAAAGCACAGTCAGTAAATACTTGTAAAAAGTATTGAAAATTTCAGTAAATACGTGTATTTCCCAACTGAAATCAGTAAATACGTGTATTCCCTAAGGAGAATAGGAATTTCGTGTATTTCCTAAAATTCAGGAAATACATGAAATTCCTGATTACACTTATTTATTGTAACATATATATACGGATTCATTTCCAATTGATTGCTATCAGTATTATAAATCAAAATGTAAAGCTGTAAAGCTGTAAGTAATTTGGGTTTAGTAGATAAGTTGTAACGCTAGATACAGTGAAATATCAGTATCTCGAAGTTGAGGGGACCTGGACGCGACTTCGAGATATCCGGGGGTTCGAGATATCTTCCAAAGTCGAATCAATAATTTTCCGGGTTTTTTTTAGCTCTACTGGTCAGAGACCAGAAGAGCTTATGCGATAGTAATGCGTCCGGCGTCCGTCCGTCTGTCTGTCTGTCTGTAAACAATTTTTCAAAATGCTACTCCTCCTACAGTTTTGGTCTGATTTCAATATAACTTGGCACACAAGTAGACTACACTAAGATACATAATTCTGTGTATCAGTTTTTGATTTCGATGAACGGTGTTATCGTGGTTACTAAAACTAGAACTGTCCAAACGGGACAAAATACCCCGCGCTGGGTTTTTTCAGAAGTAAGTTTTTCCATAATAAAGATATGTATCACACATGAATTATGAAATTTTTCTTCCAGTGACCTTGAACTTCCCCAAATGACCTTGGGTCAAGGTCATGACACACCCTTGGGTCATGGGCAATCTTTGAGTGAAATGAGAACCTACCAATTTTATCCATAAGAAAGATATGGACCGGACACAAATTATGAACTTTTTCTTCCAGTGACCTTGAACTTCCCCAAATGAACTTGGGTCAAGGTCTTGACACACCCTTGGGTCATGGGCAATCTTTGAGTGAAATGAGAACCTACCAAGTTTATCCATAAGAAAGATATGGACCGGACACAAATTATGAACTTTTTCTTCCAGTGACCTTGAACTTCCCCAAATGACCTTGGGTCAAGGTCTTGACACACCCTTGGGTCATGGGCAATCTTTGAGTGAAATGAGAACCTACCAAGTTTATCCATAAGAAAGATATGGACCAGACACAAATTATGAACTTTTTCTTCCAGTGACCTTGAACTTCCCCAAATGACCTTGGGTCAAGGTCATGACACACCCTTGGGTTATGGGCAATCTTTGTCTGAAATGAGAACCTACCAAGTTTATCCATAAGAAAGATATGGACTGGACACAAATTATGAACTTTTTCTTCCAGTGACCTTGAACTTCACCGAATGACCTTGGGTCAAGGTCATGACACACCCTTAGGTCATGGGCTTCTTTGTGTGGAGTAGTAGATTCTAATGTCCCTACATAAGAAAGATATGGACCGGACACGTTTGCACAGACAGACAGACAGACGGACAGACGGACAAGGTGATTCCTATATACCCCCCCCCCAAACTTCGTTTGCGGGGGGTATAAATAGAAATTTCTGTGAAATTCTTTCAAAATGTTACTCCTCCTACAGTTTTGGTCTAATTTCAATGTAACTTGGCACACAAGTAGACTACGCTAAGATACATAATTCTGTATATCGGTTTTTGATTTCGATGAACGGTATTGCCGTGGTTACTAAAAATAGGAATTTCTTTGAAATTCTTTCAAAATGCTACTCCTCCTACAGTTTTGGTCTGATTTCAATATAACTTGGCACACAAGTAGACTACACTAAGATATACATGTATGTATAACATGTATAATATGTCTGTACACATATTTCTTTACTTTGTGATAATTAAGAACTGCAGAATCATTATTGGTGGTGGGGACCAATCTTCTTGGATCACCCTTACTAACTTACGAATTATTCCTACACACGTTAATACATGCATGTGGATTAATCTACCGTATAAAACGAATAAACCACAAAGTATGTCCCCACAACAAGGAAAAACAAACATTGATCCTCGGGAATTAAAATGATTTCACAGTACTTTTAATAAATTGAAATACTTAGTACATGTAAGACTAAAAACTGACATACCAAACAAGTGGCGTTTATCAAGTGAACCTTTGTTTTTGGATTCGGTTTGGAGGTACAGTTAGGCGAGCTATCTACTTGAATGGCACTTTTTTCATGCATTCCAAACAATTCCACATCACCGTTCTCCAAACATCCTTAAAAAGAAAGCAATTGTTACCGTTTAATTAGCATTGAAATTATTATTATTCTACAAAGGGAGCAAACTTTTACAAAACAATCCAATCATAATCATGGCAATTGATCCATTTTCTCAACGGCATACATGAGATGATTTTTCTTGACATTGAACCTTACAGATATCACTTTTACTCTCAAAAGAGAACAAAATGCTTTGGATATACAAAGAGCATATGTATCGTATACAAAATTTTACAATTGAAATAGTCAACAGTAGATAAACAAATGAAAATTGCCATGGTAACCATGACACATCGCAACCTTTTGCCTGAATTGATTTAAGGTGTAACACCCCTCTGATAGGAGAGATAACTTTCTGAGGACACTTTTCCATAACATTTAATGAATTGTCTTGTTAGAATTTACCGACTCTATTAATGAAGACCATCTTATTCAAAACTGACGTATACTATTTATGTTTATTTCTAGTTTCTAAATTGTAAATATTTTCATCAATTATTTATAAAAGTTTACCTCACACATTTATACTTATTTCCATGGAACTGTGTAAATTAAGATATTTCCATCTCTTAACGTATGTCTTTTCATTGTTGCAGAAATTGCAGATGAAGAATTGGTTATTTTCATTTATTTCATATTTTGTTTCACTAAAACATATTGTCAAGGATAATAATAAAAAAAAAAACTCGTGTTGATAGATGCATATCATTTTATAAGCACAGAAATTTATTTGATATTCTGATTTAAAAAGCAACGCTTCATTATGTATTCTAATGAGAATTAGATAGGTATCATAGTAAATATTTTTATTTTCATATACAACTCATATTTCTAATTTTATTGTGAAATATATAAAAAAAAATATTGACCTTTCTATTTACAATATCAAGATTTCTTCACATCATGATAAGATATAATATTCATTTCTGAAAAGTAAGCAACGCTTCATACTTCAAACTATTTACCATTTGGATATAATGTTATTGTACAGTTGTTGATAAAAATAAATGTTTGGAATTAAAAAAAAAATGGTGAAATTTGGAGGAGAGGGATATTTCACCTAAACAGTATCAAGGATTCATACCAGAGTTTGGAAAATTCTGAAACTACGTGTGCCACAGCTACTATCATTACAGACAACGGATCTGAAATCTCGATCAAATACTGTTTATTAGATCTGTCATATCCCAGTTACAGAATGCATGTATAGGTATTCCGAATTATTATGAAAATTGAAAAAATAATATTTGTATTTAACTTATAATATATTTAAGAATTTTTGATTTTACCAAAATCAAAAGCTTAAAAACTTATGGTTTTTCAACTTTATACACAACCATTCCACGATAAATTTAAGTCCAGGCTTTTTCATATCATTGACAGCTGCTATTTCAATAAAAAAAGAAACTCGTAAATTAACATACCTTGTCATTGGTCATTTACAAATTTTTTTTAAAACATTCTGATTGTACACACGAGTACTCTGAAACTGATATCAAAAAGACGTTTGAGTTTCTGATTGACAATATCTATGTTGTTTTTGGAGACCAGGTCTTCCAACAATCTATTTGAATTCCCATGAATACCAATTGCGCCCCTTTATTAACAGGCCTATTTTTGTATTCATATGAAGCAGAATTTAAGCAAAAGCTTTATGTTTTATTGCTTTTTTATTGAATGTTCTTTCAGTGTTGGTCCCAAAGGACCTGAAAAAGAATTTAAGAAAAAGCATTGAGGTTCAAACCTTGCCATCAATCACATGTTATAAATTTTTAATCACTCTGTCCGAAAAGGGGTCATTTTTCAACGGGGATCAAATAGTATGCATATATGAAAAATGATCCCTAGGCCCCTTTTCTAAAAAAAATTCTATGATTGAAGTCTTTTATTTTTACTGAATAATTACTGTTTTTATATTTTTTTGCAAATATTGTTAATCTGTAAATTTAGGAGATCAGCATATTGATATGTATTTGTGCGATTACCTTTTGATCTGATCCCCTATCATGCTATGTATATATATTTTCTTATTTCGTCATTTTTAATAAATTGCATATTTCATCTCAAAAATGGTGTTGCTTTTATTTGATCATAACAATACAAACTAAAAAGCTATACTATAAACTTTTTCGGGTTCAAAATTTCACTAGTTGATGAACAAAGTTTTCTCATTTCAACGAACCAATCTTAACATGGAAACCTATGAGGAAGAAGATAGTCTAAACACGATGACTCTTACAGTAAATTCAAATGTCCATAAACGTTCTTAGTAATTTAAAATTCATTTTTGCAACGTTCTATGTATGAAGTCAACTTTTATCTTAATTTGCTAGAGGTGATAAAGCACTGCTTTATCTTACATTAAAGAAAACAAAACTTACTGTAACTGTAGTGTGGATGCTCCCAGTCCGCAAAGGTCAGATATAAATTCTGAAAAATGTCACATTTCTCATTGTTGAATATTATTTTCGACAATATTCATGATATCATGTGCGGTGGGAAGGGCATACATACCTTGCAAAAACTTCTTCGTTAATACATGTAATTTCAATGACAACTGTGACAACTAAAACTAGAGATACTGTGCGCAATGAGCTCACTAAATGATACTCCGCCTCCCATAATGTCCATGTGTTGCTATATATTGTTTTACGGTAGGCCTGATGTGTAAAGAGGAATAACTCGTCCTGTCAAATGTTATCTAGAAGCTTCTATATCTGACGTCATAGGTAAACATATAATGGCAATGGCAATGTTTTGCTATGGGAAACCTTAAATACGTGTCGAATAAAAAAGTAAAATAGGAGGTGCTCAATGGCAATATGTAATAAAGATTCTGTGAAAGTTTCATTAAATTTCACTCAGTAGTATAAGAGGAGTTGCGGAGAAGAGATGGGTACCCCAAAGCGTAAAAGACGGACGGACGGACTACAGACGGACGGAAATACCGATTACTATATACCCTCCCACTTTTCAAGCGGGGGGTGTAAAAATGAAATATTTAAAAATGTAGAATTAATATTGCTCAACGACCTAATACATAACAAATATCGAAAAATGGTAGCAAGTGCCTTATTTAGTAAACGGTAATTTTTGCAAAACAAACGATGCTGAAAACAATACAAACTAGAGGTACTGTGAGCAATGAGCTCACTAAATGATACCTCCCGCCTCCCATGTGAATAAAATGGCAGTGTCCTTGTTTTGCTCTGGAAAATCCAAAATATATGTCAGATCAAAAAGTAAAATAGGAAATGCACAATGGCAATTTGTAATAAAGATTCTGTGAAAGTTTCATCAAATTTCCTTCAGTGATATGAGAGGAGTTGCGGATAAGAGATGGGTACCCCAAAGCGTAACAGACGGACGGACGGACAGACGGACGGAATTAACGATTACTATATACCCTCCCGCTTTTCAAACTGTTCTTCACCAAAAAGTCAAATTGACAAACAAGCATATAATCTTAAACCTGAACACAACTCGTAATAAATAGGCATACACCATTTTCGATATAATATTCGTTATATATGTACATGGCTGCTTTATTGTCAAGGGTATCGGCATGGGATGGCTGCAAGTTTTCGTGCTGGTTATCTTGCATTTTCTTTGTTTACATTTTATTATGTACAGCTACGTATATTTGTGCGCGTTTGTATACTGCACTGTTGTTAGTGTCTTTGATATCTTACTTTCCTGCATTGGAAGAAGTACGAGGGTCATTCAAAAAACACACAGACAATATTCCTCATCGTCATATAATTATTAAAAGATTATAAATCTACACATTTTCGTAAATAAAAACATATATTTTTTCGAAATGTGAAGCTTAATTCCATTTGATTAAATAGAACTCATGTTAGCTAATTTTTAAAGCAACATGCATGTTTTATTACCACGGAACACGGTTAACCAACATTGTAAAGTCAAACACGACATCGACAAAGTGTCTCAAAATTACTCTGCTTATTACATGTTTTAATTTCAAACAGGTTTGCAGCGTCTTCTCCATATCATAAAAACGTATCCATAACAGTTAACACCTAGTTTGCAAACAATTGTGCGAATAGCTTAAACCAGCTTGTCACTGTTTTTGAATGCTTTACCACGGAACTCTATCAGTTCACCTACAGTGAAGCACACATCACGTCTAATAATGACGTTCCTCATTTGACAAGATTTTTAACTATAACCTATCTTTGCAGACTATCCATCTTCCTATTTAAACTCAATACCACTCAAAAATTATGTTTCGCATTTTATACAATTGCACGATTTATTTTTAATACATTTCCTGGCTTATAATACAAATTCTTTAAGTTCGTTAAAGAAGCTTCCCGAATGCAAAGCAAAATTTAATTGCTCCTCACTGACGTCCCCCAACGTCACGTTTTTCGCCTTTTTAACCAAGTCCATATGTATTTAGAAACTGTTATCTTTTAATCGGATCGATATATTACATTACCCGATAGATTTTAAGTAATACAACAAGACTTAATTAAAACAAGTAAATTTTATTTCATTTCAGCTCCATTTATTAGAAGTATGACTATAGATACTATAAATGAAAATAAGCTGATTACAAAATTTTGACGTTGCTCCATGACCCAATTTTTGCTGTTCTAAATCTTTGTTAATTTTTATAAATATGAAGACATATTCCATTTTTTTACTCATATTATTCAAATTTGTTGTCAAACTATGTGTACCAAAGAACTTTATTCGGTAATAACCAATATTTGCCCCCCAAATCAAACTTTGATGGAGATACATTTAATCAAGTTCTTAAACAGGGGAGTATATGCTGACTTCAAAGCACTGAATATTTTCATAAGTAATGACGTCATATGTACGTAATGACGTCACAAACATGACGTAAATTTCAGTTTTTTATGAATTTTACAGAAAAATGTACATATTTCGTCGATATTTTGAGTAAAAGTCACCGAGCGCATGTGTGTTCAGGATCAATATTTTGATATAATGTGTAGACTGATAATATCAATGAAATATATCAATATTGTTCCTGAACAAACTTGCGCTCTATAAATTTTAAAGCTAAAATTGTTGAAATTTTGTCCATTTTGTCCTCTTTCTGAAAAAGGATATAAAATCGGACTAGTTTGTGACGTCATAAAAACAAGAATTGTGAATACACTGCTTTGAAACTATTAAATATTTTCTGTTAATTTATATTTCTCATACAATTTATTGAATTCAGCACATTTCAAGAAGTTTTCAAAATTTGACTTTTGTGGGGGCAAATATATGTAATATACCGCATATAGTTCTTTAGATATAATATGACGCTGAAGAAAAAAGTTAATTCAAAAGTCTACGAACTTGTTGAATGACCTTACAGTTATTTTTTTGTCACTACCGAGTGCTGTATAGCAAACACCCGTGAAAACTGGTGATAATTCATTACTCTGAACAGTAACTAAGTGACCGCAGATATAGCGAGAGATCGAATAAATATGGCGGACGATTTTTTAACGAGTCGTGTTTAGCTTTATTAACAATTAAAATGGTCAATAACATATCAAAGTAAGAAAATGTCATAGTAATTCAAGGTACAATGAAGCGCACTGAAGTGGTAAAATTTTTCGTTTGGATGAAACGTTCTGAGTCATGTTTTGAACGTCAATTATAACATAATGACACGCCCATAAATTTAGAAACGAGAAAGAAATATTCGTTGTAATATTTGAGGACACCGCACCCTTCGCAACAAGCAACATGAGTTGCAATGAAATGGAGCTTTAAAAAATTAGAAGAGAGAGTTAGAGACTCTCAGCTTCTGTAAAACACAAATTGCAACGAATATGCTCATATTTCTGAATTTATCATGTCTATCAAAGTTACCACAACACATGTTTCGGTCGAACACGTGTTTACTCGGTGTTTATTTAGACCGTCAATTTGATAGGCTATTGTATTTATGGAAAACCTGTTCTACAGGTATTCCAATCAACAACTTGACCGTTTTATCCATTTCTAAGGAAATGGGCCTGTCGTCACATGACAATCAACGTTCTAAAGATAGCTTAAAACGTTCCATTCGAACGGAAAATTTTACAAATTTTAAAATTTTAAAAGCTCAAATGTCATGCTAAGTTCAAAGTTGAAATTCAAATTAAAACAAGGCCTCTCAAGACCAACAAAACATCATGCTGACGGACGGACACTCCGATCATTATAACCCCCCCCCCATTTTCAAGCAGGGGTTACATGTATAATGCTTCTAGAGAATGTCTAAAAAAAAAAAGTGTTTTGCTATGAAGAATAGAGACATTAAATTACAAAGTTTGGATACATATTTTAATTTATATGGATATTCAAATATTTGATCATTAATCTCCGTGAATTTTCCAACTGCTGGCATAATGAACCAGAAAAGATCAAATGCCAAGTAATGAACATTTTCGGAATCTCAGACACCTGACATCGTACTACGGACAGCGGACTGCAAGCAATAGAGGACTTTCGGGGAGCGTATAGAAATACGTTTAAAAGCCTGTTTATCGTATAGATAATTCATTATCGTTATACGATTTTACACTACTAGACTTGTCTTCAAGGAAAGAGGCGACACATTCCATGCAATGTATTTGTTTTTATAACTCATGCAAATGAAAACAAAATTTTATTACCGAGTTCAATGAAATATATACGTAACATTTTAATTACTTTTTTGACATGCTCCCTAAAATGAAAAGTCCGCAGTCCGCTGTAAGTTGTCAGGTGTCCGAGATTCCGAAAATGTTCATTAGGCAAGTGAATTTCTAAGCATTTGAGAAATTGGAGTCAAAGCAGTGTTGGCCCCCTTTTCTTTTGAAATCTCATTATTGGTATTTTTCATAAAGTATATCCTAAATGATTGTAGATACATTCCTAGAAAAAAATCTTACTTTCAAGCTCCAGGATAATGAGACTGTTTGTTTAAGATTTAATTCAACATTTTAGTTATTTAAAAAATGAATAAATATTATGATTAAAATCTGACGCCTAAAATAAAAATTAGAAACATCGAAATATGGTGGTATATTTCATTTCTATCCCCTAATTGCAAGATAAACTAAAGTCATTGTGAGCAATAAACTCACCAAATGATACCCCCGTCGCCCATATGGTGAAAATTGCAAAGTCCATGTTTTGCACTGGGAGACCCAATCAAAACAAACTTTTCATGTTTTGCTGTATTAAATCAAGTTTAAAATATGATCGCAAAGACTAAAATAAGTTTAAAAAGTCTCCATGCTAAGGAAGTACAACAGTACTGTTACTTTTCCTTTAAAATTGCTATGGATATCCAACAAGTACATGTAGCAAAAAATCAATAACATATCAAAGTAAGAAAATGTCATAGTAATTCAAGGTACAATGAAGCGCATTGA